CAGACGGGTGAGCAGGGGCTCTAGCAGTTTCTCTGGCTTCAAAGTTGACAAATGTTCATCTGCTGAACACGTAGCATAGGAGATCCCTGCTGGATTCTGGGGACACAGAGATAAGTCAGATGAGGTCCCTGCCCTCACAGTGCTCCCAGCCTGGTGGGGCCCACAAACTCCCACACAGACACATAGCGGAGTGTGGTCTAGGGGTCTGCAGAGTGATGGGTGTGGTGGATCCAGAGTGGGCATCTGGAAAGGCTTCCTAGTGGGGTGACGGGACTGGGCTGGACTGGGCTGTGGCAACTTCTCCCTCTTGAATGAACCTGTCCGGCCCTGGCATTCGTTTCTCCATTCATAGAACATTAACTCTGGGTTCAAATCAAGTCCAGCTTCTGTCCTCTAGGAGCTTCCATTTTGGTGAGAGAGACAGCCCCAACCCACAAAATCACAGCAGAGTTCTACGAAGGGCAGGGGTAGCTGATAGGTAAGAAACTCATGTGTCTTGAGTCCCCGACTTGTGCCACATGTTTTATGGCATCTCATTTAATTCTAACATCTCTCTGAAGTAGACATTGTTATTCCTCTGTTATTAACTTGCAGACAACTGAATTTCCTTGTCCGTGGTCACACAGCTAGACAGTGCTGGAGCTGGAATGCAAACTCAAGAGTGCCTGTCTCTAAACTATGTACTAAGGGCATTCTGTGCAAAGGGAACTGCATTTTGAAAGGTGTGGACATTTGGAAACTCATACAGTTTCTTTGAGCTCTGAGAAGGCCAGGATGATTAGACTAGAGAGTGAGATTTGGGATGTGGCAGGAGGTAAAGCCAGGTGTAGGCAAGGCCCAGGTCCTGAAGAGTCTTGGATTTTGATGATGGGAGCCAGGGCAGGACTTTGGTCAGGGGAGGGATGTGGCTGGTTACAGCAGGGGGATATATCAGTTGTAGCCTCCCCATGTGGTGTAGGGGGCGGGAGGACTGTATCAATCAGGGTGCTTTTCTCTGCAAGTAACAGGACTCAATTCAAAGAGGTTGAAACATTGAAGGAAACGAGTTTTCTTCCAGAATACCTAAAAGCAGCATATCCGTAGGGTAAATTAATTTAACACCTCACCATTCTTAGTGTGTTTAAGCATGCTTGTACTTAAAAAGTGACTATTGGGGCACCTAAGTGGCTCAGTTGGTTGAAC